CACACACACACACACACACACAAACACACACACACACACACATACACACAGAGACAATTATGGAAAGCTCTCTATTGATTAGAACATGTTCTAATAAGAAGACAAGGGAGGAGAACACTTTACTTTTGCTTCATAAAGGGCCACGCCCTGCTGACGCTCTCAGGGTGCAGCCATCCCACTCGTTACCGGACGAAAGTGAACTGACGAAAAAACTAGAGAGCAAAACATAGCTCTTCAAAACCAGTTCATCCATATTTGTAAGTGACGGTGGGCATCCTGACGTTGTCGATCAGATTGCATAATTTTAAAGAACAATTTATTTGCTGCGTCGGCGTGTGCACTATAGCGTACAGTATGGTCACACCCGTATGCTAACAATGTCATATGATACTTGTTGACGTTGTTATTTGAGATGTAGGGGAAAGAGAGAGGACACAGAATTCTGAGCATTTGAGATCAGGAGTTTCTCTCTCTCTCTCTCTCTCTCTCTCTCTCTCTCTCTCTCTCTCTCTCTCTCTCTGTCGACACCTGCGTGTGTCGATGCTGTCTGACAATAACAAAGTCATGTCTTACAATTCCATGAAGTTGGCATGTCCAACAATATTGGGATAGTGGAAAAGGATATTCGCCAAAACGTGGTATACATTGTCTTTTCGACAAGAATAAAAAAAACCCAATTAATTTCAACCCCTTCTTCTTCTTTTTCTCTCTCTTCCCACTCCCTCCTACTTTTCGTCGTCGTCGTCGTTCTTGTCCTCTTACTCCTTCTCATTTTTCTTTCACCCCCCCCCTCCTTTTCCGAACACACAAACACTGGCACGCAGGTTGTTTATGTGAGAAGGTTGACAGAGAGATCAACGTGCAAAACAAAATATGCTTTCATTTTGTATTCAAATACTAACCGATCTGCAAGCATCCCAACAACAACAGCGGCCACGCCTTTAGTGCTGGACCAGAGCTGCGAAAGCGTGCCTTGTTGCCATGGTTTCTTTGATTCAACGTCTGCATAACCTCCCCACAGATCCACCAAAGGTTTCCCATGCCGGTAAACAGCGAAGCTGGCCCCAGGCTCTCGACCACTTTGCACATTTTTCCTGATGACACAAAAGGAAAGACGCTTTCAAAGTCCATTACATTCATGGATGCATCCATAGTTGTACACACATTGTGATATAAATGAATAGTATAATAATTTTCAAGCAAGATGAATCAGTGTACTCATACTATCCTGATAGTATGGCTTTTATTTTTAAAGGTCATAAGAAACCATTTTGCAAGTTGGTAAAGATGGGAGGAGTTTAATGGAAGATGGTAAAATAATCTGTATCTTTCTTTGATACAAAATAGAAGAAAAGTCCGTTTTCTTCGTATTGAGGTTCTAATTTGAGAGAACAAAGGATGTTGGTTGTTCTAAAAGATAGAATTAATTTTTCGTGTGCAAGTGATATCATGCGATTGATATAATATTGAGAAATCTCGATTTAAGTAGGGATTCGGCTTTTTACAACGACCTGGTAGCTGAGAGCGAAATGTGACTGTGTGTTTGGGAGAGAGCTGCATAAAAAAGAGATATAAAATAGGTCATTTCCATGGATGCCAAATGTAAATGAACTGTCAGCATACAACATAACTGAAGTTTGATTTCCCAAACTTCTTTCACTTTCATAGAAGATGTTTGTTTTGTCATTTGCCGATGGTTATTATTTTCTGAAGCAACATAATTCAGACCAACTAAATAATAAATTTGAATGACTCACTCAACTACTACAATTAATTATTAACAGACTTTTAAGAGAAGACAAAGACGTTACTTACTCAAATATTTCTTTCACCTCTTGGAAAGCAGGATGCACTTGACCTCCATACGGCACCTTTTCCTTAGGAAATATCCCTGAAGTTATGGCTCTCCAGCTGATAGCCAGCAGCACAAGGGCGGGAGCGGCACGAAGTAACCAGGACATCCTCGGGATAGTGAGGCTGCGGAGGAGAAACACTTCAGGATCATCTTCAGCTTTCGTGGGAGGTATATTGTCTTACAAATATTATCTTACTAGTGTTCTTTTTTTGTTCCTTGTCCTGATTTTGGTGCCACTATTTGTAAGTTTCGTAAACATGTGCCAACATGGTACAAATTGTCATGCGTCAAGAAAAGCAAAATAGGAAAAAATGGAATTGTTTGGTCTGTGGTGATGATTATTTTTCCAGCGTTTTAGATCTTTGGGCTCTCTGAGCATTCATCAGTTTTTGTAGATGTTTGTTTTCCAGTGTTCAGGTGAGGTAAAAAAAATTTTTTTCCACAAGACACAAATAGTTCATTCCAAAGACGGGGAAATTAGCTCACGCATACGCGAAAAGAACAAAAGAATGAAGGGAAATGACTGCTCTGAAATTAATACGACACATCTGCACTCAAATAAAGAATTGTGCTCTTTCTCCATGGTGCTTTCCCACTATTAGCGGTGTACTTACTGCTGTCTGCCCCGAAGGCTCTCTAATAACGCCCACCCCCTTCCCCCAAATACCGCCCCACCCCATCTGCAGAGAAGTTGATACTTTTACGCCTTACTAGATACAATATACGCCACTTCAAAAAAAAAAAAAATCATATGTATGAATAAAAAGAGAGAAACAGAGAAAAACAAAGAAGGGGGTGGGGTGGCTCTCTAACCGGAAGGAAATTGAAAGGAAATATTCGAGAAAGAACAAAAACATTCGTACTCCACTGCTACCTTTTTCTTGAAAAGGTTGTACTCTTGCGCAGTAAATTGAAGGTAAAGTCATTGTAAAATATATTACAACTACTTTAGCTCTTTTATTTTTTGTTTGTCCTTTTCCAATTTAACAGCACAGAGCTCATTAGAAGCATTATAAAGACCAACAGAAACGTAGCTTATTTCAGCCTGTATGGAGCAAAGCAGAGAAGGTAAAATTGTTGAAATTTGTAGTCAGCTGATTGCTTAGCCTCCAGAAATAGTAGAGGAGAAAATTAAAGGAGGTGTAAGAGGCTGAGGAAATGACGATCATTCTTTCCCCACAAGTGAACGATTGTGCCACGAGCGCAGGATTGAAAGTGGTATGTGGTTAAGTGTTGTGAGGGGTCGGAACGGAACAGTTATCTTGTGGTTATGACACCCCCCCCCCCAGCCTCTTCCAACAAAACAAGAGTGTTATGGAAATACCAACAAAGGCAGCCCACGAACAGGAAACGAAATCATTCTCATGGTGAAAGTGCTGGGACTCAATCGTTTTTACCCAGGCATGACAGTGAATACTGTAGTCGCTTCCGAAGAAACAGGTCATCGGGAGACAAAATGCAGTTCTTTATAAGGGGTGCTCACTGTGGATGGGATCGGGTCGGGTCGGGTCAGGTTGGAGGTGATCACCCGACTCGTTGCCTGAAAACAAACGTGTTTGTTTTTGAGGCGACGAGTCGGGCGCAATCGGCCTGTGCCACAATAGCCGCTTTGTGCCCTCAATCTGGCTAGCAAACCGCCCCCACCAGACCGGATCCCCCCAATGGGCGGACAGAGTTCTTATACGGGATGCCCTCTACCGCTGGATAGGGCCGATCGCCCGACTCGATCGCCTGAAACTGAAAACAAACACGTTTGTTTTTTAGGCGACCGAGCGATCGGCCGATCCCATCCGTAGTGGGCACCCCGTATTAGGGAGATTTCAAGTAACTCAGTTACCACCTGACTCCCCTTATTTATTCTATCATGAAATAATGGCCGTAGGCTAGGGGTTACTGACGCTCGAGGAAAAATAGTTTTTTTCTTTTTCTTTCTCTTTTTAAAAAAGTTTTTGTTGTAAATTAGCATGTGCATGAGTATGTCTGAGTGGTGTGCAATGTTTTTGGGTGCAAGAGACTCAGAGATTTCGGATTGAAACGACATAACAGTGTCACAATGATTTAATAGCGTATTGAAACTATGAAACTGCATCCGTCGCAACTCCGGGTGAGTGAAGAAACAGACTGACCATGAATGGGCCAGCTTTTATCATACAACCGGGAAATTTGATTACTCAAGACATAAAACCAACAATAACCAACAACAGAAAACAAAAGACGATTGCACAATAGAAAAAAAAACAACTACCAAGGGATTTACCAGCCAGCTCCGCTGAGCTCAGGTGCGGGTCTAAAAAAACGTTTTGAGCAGACGTGCAAGTAGTTAGTGCGGAGATTTCGACGTCCACTTGTATTCACCAACCCCTCTCATTTCATGTCATTCCCTCTTTCCTCCCATTTTGCATTTTTTGAAAACTGACCTCGTGTTATCAAATACGGTATTTCATTGTGAGAGAGTACCTACTCCCCCCCCCCCCCCACACAATTCCCAATTGTTTTTAAAGCTTCTTAACAGTATAGTTATTGTATTGTTCCAGCCTTTAAAAGCACCCCTTTGCACGTGAAAAGTATGATAAGCAACTCCGATAAAAGTTAATTTTCCTTCACTCAAAACGTGTTTTTAGACGGATTACTATTTCTACAGTGGGTTCTTAGGAGTACAAATTATAGAGAAAAAACAACTCTCTCACAGGGTAAAAACTGGTTCTTACGAGGGCCAGGTTCTTAGCGACATGCTCTAAGTCGGAGGCCTCTGTATTCTAATTGGCGTACATCATGAATGGTTAATTCATGCTTCAGTCGAATGTCAAATCGAATCCAGTTACCAAACAATCATCAATGTTGGAGTAGAAGTTGTAATCCCGGGTATGTGTGGGGGCGTGAGGGTATTTTGAAGTATTTGAAACTTATGAAACACTTTGAAAATAGACTAGATAAATCATTTACTCTAGAAAAGATGAATCATTGAATAGTTAAAATTATGTTGGGGCAGGAATGTCTCTGTTCAAGGTAATACTCCTATCGCGATTATGGACTTGGAACTATGGTATACAATTTTTTAAGGTTTGCCATTTTTTTTTTTACTAGAGACCAAAATCAACACATATACATACCAGAGCACAATGGTTTTGATCTTTAAATCAAATTATTGCAGAGAAAAGATTTCAAGCACTGGTCCCGGACTGTCGGTGGTTTGATTGCTGAATATTATCCAACTAACTATTTTCATATTTTATTTAGACCTACATTACCCGCATACAGAAAAATTAATTGACAACAAATCATGAAAAATAACGACAAAAGGCAAACACAACAACAATAACAACACTAAATACCCTACCCAAGGGCCTGCATCAGTAAGCTGCCTGCCTTCGTCTCATTTGACTTGAGGATGCTTTCGTGTTTGCCACAGTACTGAAGCATTTTGTTGATGGACACAGTTCTTCACTTTAGTACTTAAGTATTTAACCAACTCTTCTTCGCGTTAGTGGTTAGTAAGTAACCACTTCCAATAAGTCAAAGTATCACTTCACTTGGCCGATTGGAGCTGGCAACGAAACGACGCGCAGCGAAATTTTCAAACAATGAAGAATGCCAATGTTGCTTTTACGTTTGCGCTGATTTATCGAGATACGTAAAAACCACCAGAGGTTTAGCGTCTTCAACATGAAGTTATAGCGGACAATTAATTATTACATATGTGTGCGTTCGAAAGCAAATTCTGCGCATTAAATACTGCAGCGAGCTACTCCCTCGACGACGGGTGATAAAACAACACAACGGAAGAGGCCCTCGAGTCGAAGGGAGTCTCGCGGATGGAGGACCGGAAATCTACGCTCTGTTGACGTTATAGTATGTTTGTTTTGAAGGAAGATTTACGTGAGCTGCTTTCGAGCTGATTGCTGTCTGTGTTTGTGTTTTTCTGGGGTTTTACTTCCAGTCTCGTGGTTGAGCGCTCCACAAAACACTGGTTACAAACGAGCCATCTGTCGAATATGAAATAACACGGTTCCGCGACGGAACACTGGACAATGAGAATTTTAAATGACTTTTTCGAAAAAAAAATAAAGATACGTTAGAAATTCTAACATCACACAGATTCAAATCACAAGCTTCCCAGTTTCTGTCAGGTTCATCTTTAACAGGTCTGCAATGGACGGCTCGAGTTTTAAAAACTATTTTAGTATTTGAATCTTGTTGGGTTCTTTGTAAGTGTTTTACGGCGCTCGCAACTGCATAAGGTCATATGAGCGCACGGGACAAACATTTTCAATTGGTCGGAAATTCAGAATTTTGTCCGGGTGGCGGCCGAAGCCTACTCTTATCGACTTTGGACCACCAAGGGATCTATCTTTAACTTTAACGTGCGCAACTAGCACACGGGACCTCCGAGATTTTTTACCCTTGACGGAGCAGGCTAGAGGTAAATCTTCCCTACCCGAAAATCAGGGGTGTGGCTGAAAGACAGCCGTAAGAAGGAGCCAAGGAGTAGCAGTAGAAAGGCTGCAGAAAGAGTCAGGAGCCCAGTGGAGGGGGCAAAGGAGGAGAGGGAATGGGGGAAGAAAATGGAAACAAAAGCAGGCGACAGAATATTTCAAGAGAGAAGGAAAGAAGGGGAAAGGAGACAATTTTAGAGAAGAAAATTTTCGGTCGCTACCCGGATTCGAACCCGAGACCTTTGAATGAGAGGAAAACACCTTAACCTCTAGGCCACGAGAGCCCCTATTCGAGTATTGTGCCATCCTATCATTATAATAGTGCGTTAGCAGCATTTACGCTTTTCGAAAAGAGACTATTCTCTAAACTTTTCTAAAGCTTACTTTGAAGTTAGGCTTGCTTTATTAAAATGATGAGTTACGCTTTCCTGTTTATTCTAAATATGATCATGTTTTCAGTCTCAGCTAATGTGTTCGCTGCTGTTGTTCTGTCTATATGTGAATGCGATCATTGAACATAACATAAAGCTAGCCTCATCATTAGAAGCACACGGTGGTTTTACAAGCAATGCCATAGTGTACTAAACATTTTGTATTGATAAAAAAGGAAAATTCTGACGTCACACAAATAAATTAGTTTAAATATTTTATTTAATGTAGGCGTTTTTACGCCCCTATCGACAAAATTTAGATCATTTAGGAGGCGGGTTTCGGCCCTGCCTGTCAGGACCAACCCCGACTATTAGGTTTACATCATCCAGGGCAAAAAGACCTAGATACTCGATAGCAATTCTCCCGACTCAGGAATCGAACTCGGGTCTTCTGCGTTTGACTTTGACGACAAAGCGCCTGACTAGTACATGTACACCATAGTTGACGGTAAACTGGTTCACTCAAGGAGGAAGTTAAAATGGGGATGACGACTTCCCATCATTGGGAAATCCAACTTTTTGGGGGAGGGTTTCCCGTTTAAACGTTTTCCGTTTAACTCGCAAACAGTAATCGGAAGGGAAGTCGTGGCTCATGCAGTCATGTTTAATGTCTATGTGGGGGTGTTATCAGCGTTTGGGTCAGTTTAACTCATTTCATTTCCCCCTAAGCTCTCCTCGAATTGTTTCTTTTAATTTGCGAAGAAGACACTCATACCAGCACAGATGAACTGAATACGGCATTTGGGATTCTGAAATCAGATATTCTTACGACATGACCAGCCCTACTTTTAAGCCAAGAAAACAGGCTCTCGGCATTTTCCCGTCTGAGAACTTCGGTGTCTGGTATTTAGATCTAAGCCTGCTGCCGCCGCACGCACCCATTACTTGAGGAATTTGATGGGAATGAACGACAAAGCCAAACATCAGACTTGCTCTCTCACCTAGGTACAATGCAGTTGATGGCAAGATAGAGACAAGTCAATCAGTTTAGTATCAAGGTTCAGGAGGTTGTCGAATGTCCATGTGTATATCAGAGTAGCATAATGAGTATTCAACTTTTAAAGATCAGTCAACTGTTTTAAAATCCCTAATCAATATTATTGAGCAGATCGTCAGTTAACGATGTTTGTTTAAAGGGAAAGAAATACCAAATGAAAAAAAAAACACACTTCGAGACAGCACGAAACCCCTCCAGCTGAACTAAAATATCGATTGAAAGCTGGATAAGCCCGAAGTAACGCAAACGTTATATTCGCGCGGCCAATAACGGAGCCGGGCATTGTCAAATTACAGCGAACGGATAGATAATCGGACTATAACTGGAATGGAAACCCGAAACCTTTTAAACGAAATTTCTTTACAGAGATGGAAAAAGCCGTGTGTTGAAGTGTCTATCCGTTTATCTGAAAATATTCCAGTCCTTCTTTCTATTCGAAGGGCTAGTTGTTCTCTTTTTCTTTATAGGCATTTTTATTTGGTCAATTTTTCTGTCTTTTAAAAAAGTATTGCTAAATAGCTAATTTGCACATGGGCATTAGCCATAAAAGAATCTGAGAAATGTAGCCTCTTGATTCGTTCAATATTCCGACCTTAGTCCCCTTTGTACTTGCAGATTTGTGGATAGAATGACTCCACGCCCGAGTTTCGCTATATTTAAAAGTTTCGTGGTTCATTTTGCATTTCTTGGTATACGCTGAACTGCCCTCTCATAATTGAGGACGGAGTACGGGACGCCCGAAAAGATACAAAATAAGTCACAAAACGACAGGATGACGCATTCTCTTAACAACATGTCAATGAAAAATAATTATTTTTTGCGCAATATCTAATTATGCTTAGATATGTATTCGTTTTCTGTGTCTTCTTCAAGGTATACACACTCGGTTTCGGTTTAAAAGATGCCTATTTATCTCTCATTGACTTTTGCAAGGAGCCTATAAGCCATGTACTCACTGATTGGGTTCGAAAAATATAACAGTGTCTCGAGCTTACCAATCTCCGCGTCATTTACTCCAAAAGGTGAAACATCTTTATAATGCCTGGTACCGAAAGGACACGGTCAAGGGTTCCCCTTCCCTTAATGTCCGCCTTGACATTTACTTGTATCTCTCTCTAATCGAAAACTGCACCTCACTACCAGTCGCCAAAGCATGGGAGTGAAACAGTGCTAATTGTTCAGATACGAAAGCCTAACTATATGAAAGTTATGATCTATTTACCATGCCCAGGTAAAAAAGATCGATTTTATGTTAATATAAATTTTTGCTCCATCAACTGGAAACAATTAGATCAGAGATAACGGTTGGAAAGTGGAACTGCCAGTACTGTCTCTCAGTAACCCAGAGAGAGAGAGAGAGAGAGAGAGAGAGAGAGAGAGAGAGAGAGAGAGAGAGAGAGAGAGAGAGAGAGTTAACAACCCAGTAACGACGTACTTATCTGCACCAGACTCCCAGTGTTCTTAATGGAATGTTTGCGTGCCGTCACAGCATGCACTAACGGGAGAAATGTTGAGAAGAACAGAGAGCACACACACTCTTAAAAGTACACAATTGCAAGATAGTATTAGCCAGGGCACATGACAGTTGAATTCAAGGTTGATTTTGTTGGCGTTGTTGTTGTTACTTTTGTTGTTATTGTTGCTGCTGGTGCTGCTGCTACTTCTGCTACCTCTATTTATTTTTTGGGGGGTAATTTTTTGTTGATATGGTTGATTTTGGTGTTGTTTTCACAGTGAACCAAGTACCGGATGTCTAAAAAAGAAGACCAATTTAAAGGGCAATAACTAGGTCACGTTTCAGTCAGTTTCAACAAAACTTCGCCGAAGTAGTATTCCATTTATGGGGAAAGGGGAGGGGGGGGGGGAGGGGAGAAGGGTTGTAATTTTGAAGAAAATCAATTCGCATGTTTAAGAATGATCACGATTTCATTATTTTAACCAAAATCGAGTAAAATTTAACACTGCATAACCTCTTAAAAATCAACGATAATGCTTATTCAATTTCTGCATTGATGAACACATTTATTTAGAACAGACATTGCTATAAACAGTGCAATGTTTTTCTTTGCTTCTTTTTTGTTTTGTTTCGGGGTTTTTTGGGGTATTATTTTGGCTTTTTGCTGGGGGAGGGGTTCGAAAGGCAGTGTCTACGGAAATAACCTGTTGTATACATCTAAATAACCTCCACCTTCCCTTTGAACATGTCTATTTTAAGCAAATACGGTCTTTATTGCTGAAATAAATAATATACGGTTTACATTTAATCAGATGTAGTGCTTTGCATGCTCCTTGACAGTGGTAAAAAACTTTACTGATAAACTTCGAACTCGTTTGTCAATTTACTTCCTGTTGGAGAATTGACGTCCGTTTAGTTGAATTTCATTTGCCCAATGTTTATTGAAACTGGTGCCAAAAATGACCGAGTTCTTTCTATTTAAATTGATCCTCTTTTTTAGATACCCTGTATAAGGCCGTTCTGAAAACAAAATAAGTTTATTTTTCAGGTCAGAGAGAGAGAGAGAGACTGAGAGAGAGAGAGAGAGAGAGAGAGAGAGAGAGAGAGAGAGAGAGAGAGAAGGAAAAAGACAGGCAGAGAAGGAGACATGAGTTTTGTTAGGAGCATTGAAACTTGAGGAAAATTCATACTACTAAGAGTATACGAAAATTAATTACTACCTT